AGCGCAGTGAGAAACTAATAACCAGCCGCAGCACAGCAGCATCAGGTGGACCTGGAGGCCTACTTGGACAGCACCCTGCCAACCGAGGTAGACAATCCCCTTGACTACTGGGCAACGAAACTTGACCTTTGGCCCCAACTAGCTGAATTTGCCCTTGAAAGGCTGTCATGCCCGGGCCAGTAGCGTGGCATCGGAGCGCGTGTTTAGTGCGGCAGGAGGTATTGCAACTCCTCGGAGGACACGACTGTCCACCCAAAGTGTGGAGAGACTCACGTTTGTGAAAATGAATCAGGCGTGGATTAGTCTGGATTTCAAACCACCAGTTCCTGACACAACTGACTAAATCCGCCATGAATCATGCCCCAAACATGTGCCACTTTCAGGTCTCCTCACACTGCTGGTGTGTTCCATTTTTTGTCATAGGTGCTGGCAGATTACGGGCCTCCCATAGCTGCTGCCAGGCCCCTAATCTGCCATGGGCCCCTATACCGCCTCCTCATGCTGCTGCCAAGTCCAGAGTCTCTCATGGGTCCCTGTACGGCCTCCCATTGCTGCTGTCTCCATCGCCACACTCTGCCATGTGCCACTTTCAGGTCTCCTCACACTGCTGGTGTGTTCAATTTTTTGTCATAGGGTGCTGGCAGATTACGGGCCTCCCATAGCTGCTGCCAGGCCCCTAATCTGCCATGGGCCCCTATACCACCTCCTCATGCTGCTGCCAGGTCCAGAGTCTCTCATGGGTCCCTGTACGGCCTCCCATTGCTGCTGTCTCCATCGCCACACTCTGCCATGTGCCACTTTCAGGTCTCCTCACACTGCTGGTGTGTTCAATTTTTTGTCATAGGGTGCTGGCAGATTACGGGCCTCCTATAGCTGCTGCCAGGCCCCTATCTGCCATGGGCCCCTATACCACCTCCTCATGCTGCTGCCAGGTCCGGAGTCTCTCATGGGTCCCTGTACGGCCTCCCATTGCTGCTGTCTCCATCGCCACACTCTGCCATGTGCCACTTTCAGGTCTCCTCACACACTGCTGGTGTGTTCAATTTTTTGTCATAGGGTGCTGGCAGATTACGGGCCTCCTATAGCTGCTGCCAGGCCCCTAATCTGCCATGGACCCCTATACCGCCTCCTCATGCTGCTGCCAGGTCCACAGTCTCTCATGGGTCCCTGTACGGCCTCCCATTGCTGCTGTCTCCATCGCCACATTCTGCCATGTGCCACTTTCAGGTCTCCCCACACACTGCTGGTGTGTTCCATTTTTTTCATAGGGTGCTGGCAGATTACGGGCCTCCCATTGCTGCTGCCAGGCCTGTAATCTGCCATGGGCCCCCGTACCGCCTGGTCACGCTGCTGCTGGGTCCACAGTGTGACATGGGTCCCTGTACCGCCTCCCATTGCTCCCACTCTGCCATGTGCCACTTTCAGGTCTCCTCACACTCCTGCTGGTTTCCATTTTGTCATAGGTTGCTGGCAGATTACAGGCCTCCCATAGGTGCTGCCAGGCCCCAAATCTGCCATGGGCCCCCCCGTACCGCCTCGTCACGCTGCTGCTGGGTTCACAGTGTGACATGGGTCCCTGTACCGCCTCCCATTGCTCCCACTCTGCCATGTGCCACTTTGAGGTCTCCTCACACTCCTGCTGGTTTCCATTTTGTCATAGGTTGCTGTATGGCCTCCCATTGCTGCTGCCTCCACCGCCACACTGTGGCTCCAAACACTGGTTTTGGCCCCGTGACTGGCCAAATGAGTGAAGTGTGCGGTGATTCTAAGATCGACGGCACTCATCTGCATGTCATACTGACTGACAGTATTATTTCTCTTCCCCAGCAGACTCCAAGGGCATTTAATTTAAAGGTACAGTGTTCTGCACTAATATTAAGTCTCTCTGAAGCCTAGAAACACCCTTTTTTAAGTTAAATTCACAGCGAATATATTCGACTCGAATCGAATATTTTCCACGAATTCGCCGAATCAGTCGAATCGAATTTTTGAATACTTCGCTCATCTCTAATTCTAACCCATGCCATTTTATTCAAAATGTAACCACTTTTTTATACAGGTACTTCAATTTACGCATCACTTTACATATATATTGTACATTCACATCAGTCCCTGCCTTCAAGGAGATTACAAAATAAGGTCCATAACTCACATTCATACACATACTAGGGCCAATTAACCTAGCAGCATGTCTTTAGAGTGTGGGAGGAATCCAAAGTACCTGAAGGAAACCCACGCAGGCACAGGGAGATCATGCAAACTCCTGGTAGGTAGTGCAGTGGTTGGGATTCGAACCGCCCACCCTAGCGCTGCTTTCCTAGGCAGAAGTGCTAACTACATAGCCACTGTACTGCACTCCAGTACTATTATGCAATATCCATTCATTACCAGGCCATTTTTTGGTTTTCAGTGGTGTGATAGTGTGACTGACAATTACTGACCTAACACTTAATTAACCTACTCCTAAAATGTAACCTCTTGAACAGGGGTGGACTGACAACTCATGGGGCCCCCGGGCAATAGGGGATCATGGGGCCCCTGTGTCCTTGCCCAAACTAAAAAAAACCTATGAAAAAGGTACCAGGGGCATCTCATGGGGCCCCCTACTGACCCTAGGCCCTCGAGCAGTGCCCGAGTTTCCAAATGGTCAGCCTGCCCCTGCTCTTGAACCTCAACCCCAGGCTTAGCTCAGGAACTTAACCTTAATTCTCTACACAGGGATACGTGGGATAAAGTCAAATGTTTTGTTACTATTTTGTTGTCTGGTTCCTGTGAATTTGATGACATTTCAGTAGAGATACAGTAAGTGTTAAATTAAATGATTTTATATAGTCAGATCATGATGTTTATTCTTTGCTCGGCCATGCAACGCTGTACCTAAATTAAATTCATGTTGCTATTTTGAGACAGAGCTTTCTTTATATGGTATTCAATAACCACTAGGTTTTACTTTTCACTGTATAAGGGAAAATTGTGAGTAGAAACATTCGCTTACTAATGCCAGGACAGTATAAACATCCACAAAATGACCCCTTTTTTAGAAAGGTGATCTAATTTTTTTCCACAATTTTGTTTCATTAAGAAATATGCTGGTATTGAGGGAGTTTTTACATGGAGCTTGATAATAATAATGGTGCACTGGAATCATTAAATGTACAGGTCATACACAGTGGGAGGGGGAGGTGACGTGGTTAATGTACAGGTCACAAATATTGGGAGATGGAGATATAGGGTTAATGTTCGGTTGTGCAGGATAAGGCAAGTTAAGGAATTAATATTCAGGTCACTTCAGAAACAGGATGACTCTGATTATTACAGGGAGGTGGGGTTGCAATGGTTAACTACTCTTCATAACCTTGATTATCTGCGTCAGCCACTGAACAGGAGCTAATGAATGAATGATTCGTCCGTTAGTTCTTCTTCCTCCTCTCCTTCGTCTGTTGTACAAGGAAGGGGCAGGCTCAACAACGTAAACACCTAACGGTTTACATTTAGGATCACTGTGATTGGTCATCACAGTGATCACAAGGCACCAAAGTTATGAGCTAATTTTACAGGTTGGGTGCTTGGATTTGGTATAGTAGTGGGTTAAATTGTGGTGTGTGTTATACTGTCAGAAGTACTTTACAAGTTAGCGATGCATAACAGCAATTAGATAAAAAATTAATCTGGCCAATCAACTCTTTCCCAACAATGAATAGTTTAGAGGGGCTGTGGATGATGCACTGCCATGTATTGTGATTGCTGCAATGTATAGCTGTGCATAGGCCCTAAAAGAATTCAACACGTGTCAAATAGTACTTTCAAAATCTGTATTTTCTGTGCTTAATTATTTCTAATTATTTTACCAGCTAATGAGGGTAAAAAAAACTGCCATTTAACAACTTTGTGACTGTTGTTTTTAGACTGTTGTGCATGCTAAAACATATTTTTCATGCATTTACAGCTTGCAGAATATTACTAGATTTATTGTTCTATGTTTAAAAGTCCAGAAGACAAATTGGACATATTTAGTTTATTTGTCAAGCTCTACATTTCCCACAAGTATATTTTCACAAATCTATAAGATGGATTCTAAGTCTTAGAACATTTGTTTATGATAAACATATGATTGAATTGCCTTATGCTTATTAAAGAATGCCATTTGTCAGATCTTGATATTAATTGCACACTTGGTTTCAATAAACTTATAGTAAATAGTAATGTCTGATAGTTTCCTTCTGACTAATGTCCTTAGTTCACTCACAGGGAATCAAACCCTTTAGATCTGTTAATGGGTAACAAAAATTTCTTTATTCTAATGTAAACATTATCACTTATTCTTCCTCCACATCCTATTTACCAAAGCTATTACCAGAACTGAACTTTTTTTTTTTCTAAATATACATATGCAGTCAAGATGATGAACATATGTTACAGTATTATAGTGTTTCCAGTAAAAATCAAAACATCCAGCAATGTAAAAACTATAGGAAAAAAAGAAAAAGAAGATTGCCTCTAAATATATACTTTTTAAGATGAAAACATAAATGATTTACTAGTTATATGAAATAGGGATAATACATATAGTATATCCATAAGGATAGTATATGGTTACTAATGATCATTTGTAAGACATGTCAGGTCAGTGATGATCCTTTTGGTTAGCGACACAGCAAAGTGGATGATGTCATTTCACACCTCTTTTGAGTACATCAAAGCATAGAACTAAAGAATATAACAAAAATTGTTATATCACAAGCCAAATCTGGAATTTACGGTGTGTTAAATATCAATCCACATTTTTTCAATTTAACTATTTAGGCTTTCAAAACTATTGTAAAACTAGCTGAATTATCAATTATCTGTCTGTTTTTGTTATCAGAACATATGTAGTACATTAGATAAAAATACATATGCAGGGCCGATGCTAGGCTATTTTGCAAGAACAGCTACTCGCACTCCCCCCCCCCCCCCCCCAAAAAAAAAAATAAAAGTCAACATTATTAAAAACAGTAGAAAATATTAAAACAGCCTGTAGCTCAGGTGACGCAGTTCACAAATTCCCCAAAATCATCCCTCCTAGCATATGCCCCCAAATTTCCCATCCTAGCACAAATCTTACTCCCTGATGGCCCCCAAATTCTCCCCCTCAGCACAAATCCCCTCCCTCCAATCCCCTTAGCACAACTCATTCCAATTCCCCTCCTAGCAGAAATAATTTTCCCCATCCCACCTTTCAGTACAAATCCCCCCAAATCACCCTTCCTAGTACAAATCCCCCCTCCCCATATCTCCCTTCCTAGAACAAATCCCCCCAAAATTTTCCCAACTAGAACAAATCTTAACCCAATCACCCCAAAATGCCCCCTCCCAGAACAAATCCCCTCTCTATAATCACCCTTTCCCCTATTCCAGCACAAATCTCTCTCTAAACATCCCTTCTAGCATATCCCCCTTAGAAGAAATCTTACTCCCGTCACCCCCCCCCCCCCCAGATTCCCTCTCCCAGCATAAATTCCCCCCTCCTAGAACAAATTTTACTTCTGTGACCCACCAAATTCCCCCTCCAGAGCAAGCCCCCCAAACCATTTGTTTCCCTGCCCCCTACGCACATTCTTTGCTGGGAGGTGATGGGAGCGAGTAAACAAACCCTGCACAGTCCTGATATGATACTCTTGATTGGGAGTGCTGTGGTGACACAAGTGTAGAGATGGAGGGGAGACAAAGCACAGGAACTCTCATTGCGGCACCCCCCCATCCATCCCAGCCCTGACCTTGGCTGCGCCCTAGGCAGCAGTGCACCCTAGGAGGCTGCTTAGTCTGCCTAGTGGAAGTGCCGGCCTTGGCAATATATAGTCACTATGAATAACTCAGTTTAAAGTGTCGATATAGGCAAAAGTTTCCTTGTTTGTTTTAGATGGAGGAGGATTAGAAACCCTGTCAATTGTTTATTGTTGTCTGTGTCCCCATTGGGGAGATTTGCCCACGCCTTATCCTAGTGATCATCACTGGAAAAATGATGGGATATCCAAGAAAATTAGAATTGTCACCATACAATTCACAGTGGTTTTTAACTCTTCCTTACACTAGCTAAAAGAAACACAGACATTTGGCTATATATGCACTCTAAAGATCAGTATGCCAATGGTCATTGATTGTCCTAAATCAGATATAGATGGCCAGCTTTGAGCTGAAGAAGAGTTAGGACCCCGGAATACATTACATAAAACTATGCTTTGTCAGTTTAGAGCAAAGCAATATTTTTGCTGTAAAGGATATGTAAATTCACCATTTCATATTCCTAATATGTGTCTGCTGTACTATGTACTTGTATGAAAAAGTATCCTTTTCTTTTTGTATTGCTTCCTTTGTGTGACATCCCTGGTGTTTCTGCCCGTCACTCTGCTTTTTAAACTGACCACACTAAGTAGGAGCATACAATGTGGTCAGTTCTCTAGCAGTGCTGGGAACTTAGCCTGCTCTTCTCCAATGATTAGGCTTGTCTTGACACACACACCCTGCACAGCCAGTCACTGGGAAAATCAGTGTGCTGCTGTTTCTCCTCCCCCAGCTCTTATGCAGCTAAGAACAGAGTGAATGTGATCACTTATAGAATGTTGTTATAAAATGTAGAATGTTTTTATACCTATACACAAATGTTTTGC